ATATATATATATATATATATCCCCTCGTTTGTTGTCCTCTTCTCCCTCTCTGCCTACGGTTTACCGGGCAGTTCTATTTGACGATATATATATATATATATATATCACAGCCCCTCGTTTGTTGTCCTCTTCTCTCTCTATGCCTACGGTTTACCGGGCAGTTCTGTTTGTGACGATATATATATATATATATATAGAGAGAGAGAGAGAGAGAGAGAGAGTGTTTGCCACGCTGTCCACAGGCTGATTCTGACACGTGCCGTGTGGTTTCGTCTTTGCCTTACATCTTCCAGGAAACGATCCAAGATGCACGCCCAGCAGATGGAATGTTAAATACTCATTTCATACATCATCAGGGCTGCTCAAATGTCTTAGTAGCGGACAGCAAATGCCAAGCAGATGGAATGTTAAATAATACTCTATTCATACGTGACAGGACCTGCTTAACAACAATGGCACTCTTTTAATTGAAGGCATCTTCCTTTTTTTTTTTTTTTTTTTTTTGGAGGCAACTTCCTACAGCTAGCCCCGAGCGATTTTCAATAACACCGACGGGGGTGGGGTAGAGAGAAACAGAGACAGAGAGAGACTTACACACACATGAGTCGGTGAAAGTCCGACGAAACAGTCTGTTTGGCACAGTCATGCTTCCTTTTTGAGTGTCTAGCAAATATGACAACCAACGCACACAGGATTGGTGTGAGTAAAATCAACCACTTTTCTCAGGGGTATTCCTGAGAAAAGTCAAATGCATCTCAGGGGTATCTCTAGCTCCGGTGTGCGTGGCTAGTCCTTATCCGTCAGTCAGTCAAATGCATCCTGGACAGACTGTCGTCGTTCAACCTCCTGATGAGCTCTCTTCTTTCATGTTCAAGATGTTCCTTCTGTTTTGCGGGAGGAGCCGCAACAGGTAATCTTGTAGGTGGTTACTTTAACTTAACTTATTGCAAGCAAGGGCTCCGTGATTTTGGTCTTCTTCTGCAAGGCTCACAATTGGTAGGTAGATGTTGCAACGTCTCTCTCTCTCTCTCTCTCTCTCTCTCTCTCTCTCTCTCTCTCTCTCTCTCTCTCTCTCTCTCTCTCTTTGTCTTCTTCTTGGAGTAGACTTAGGGGGTGCGAGGCTCACAATTGGTAGGTAGGTTTGCAACCTCTCTCTCTCTCTCTCTCTCTCTCTCTCTCTCTCTCTCTGTGCCTCTCTTTCTCTCTCTGTCTCTGTTTCTCCCCCACCCCCGCCGTGCACATGCTGGTCTTGACACTCTCCTTCTCCTCTCTGTGATCCAAATGAAGATAGTCTTGAACGAGCAGTCAGCAGTCTGCGATAGCTGCAGTGTCAGCTGATAAATTTCCCTCAGGCAATTAATTGTTAGTCTCAAACTTGCAGTTAAGAATTTGTGATAGCTGCAGTGTTGGCTGATAATTTTTTTCTCGTGCAATTAATTGTTACCGTCGCTGGGTCTCTGCGCGAATCGAAGATTTGGATGTGGCTGTGTTTGGGATTGGGGAGGGAAGAAGGGCATCCTAGTGATTGTGGACATGGCAGGCAATAGGTTGGAAGAGCGTCCTGTTGGAGGGGGAGGAGCGGGTGCAATTCACTCTTCCCAGAGAGGGGTGGGTGGAGACTCCATGGATGGGAGATCTCAGATAGAGGGAAGTTGCAGTGAGTCTGCAACAAAGGAAGTGTTCTTTGCTTGCTATTTGCTGTGCTCCATTAACCCTCGGTCACGAGGCCGGACTTACATCGGGTTCACTGTCAATCCTCGCCGCCGAATACGGCAGCACAATGGACTGATAGTCCACGGGGCACGACACACGCGAAAGCTCAGACCTTGGGAGATGGTCCTGGTTGTGCACGGGTTTCCGGACCAGGTTCAGGCCCTCCAGTTTGAGTGGGCTTGGCAGAATCCCAAGCGGTCTCTGGCTGTGCGAGAAGCTGCCAATGCGCTGAATCCGTCGAACGGCGTCAAGGGGAGGATCCAACTGCTGTTCACCATGTTGACTCTGGACAAGTGGAAGAATCTGCCTATGCGTGTGCAGTTCTTATCGAGCAAATATTCGGCTCACCGTGCTGTCTGTCCTCCACTACCGGCGCAGATGATCGTAACCGTTGCGCCGATGGACGAACTCCCTTGCTATGCTGACATGACCTCTGACACAGATCTTGACAATGCTGGTGATGAGGATTATGACACACAGCTGGATTCTGATGGCCCTTGTTGGGGCTTGTCAGACGATGAGGGTAGCGATCTCGATAGGTCGGCCGCTGTACAAGCGGGCGCAGCGCGGTCGGGGCAAGAACACCTCCTCAACCGTGCCGTGCATAATGTTTCCGCTCGTCCGCATGGTAGAAACAGCGGCGACAGTGTGGCACGTGCTCATGTGCACAAAGAAAGCACCCAGCTTTGTCCGCCTGCAGTGGACCCCACTCAAGTAGAGCATCGCAGTAGACTTGCAATCGGCGCAGATAGCATCATGGACACGCGATCAGCTCCAACTGCTGCCGTTAGAACTGCTACTGCTACCCTAACTGCAACTGCCGCTTCTGGAACGGCTACTGCTACCCTCCTGAGTGCAACTGCTGCTACTGGAGCTGCTACTGCTACGACTTCTGGTACTAGAACTGCTGCTGCTACCTTAGCCGCAACTGCTGCTACTAGAACTGTGACTGCTGCTACTAGAACTGTTTCTGCTGCTACTAGAACTGTTACTGCTGCTACTAGAACTGTTACTGCTGCTTCTAGAACTGCGACTGCACCTGCGCCTGCCTCTGCAGCTGTGGCTGCGACTGCTGCTGCATCTGCACCTGCATCTGCACCTGCGTCTGCAACCGCAGCTGCTGCTGTTCAACAGCGGAGAGGCAAGTCTCGAGCAGAGAAGGGAAGACTGGACACATATGGGTACCGAGTGGTCAAAGGTGTTAGTTTGCAGGCTGGGAACGGGTCGCGTCAGAAACAGAAGGATTGTCAGAGGGGTGACCTGAGCCGAGGGAGCGGCGATCTTAGTGGAGGACAGCCGATGATTCAGGGAAAGAAGGCTGGGGAGGTGAATGGCAGTTCAGCTGCAGGATCAGTGCTTTCGTCTGAAAAGTTGGGCATGGAAAGTCACCTTGGCCGTAAGCAAAGCAAGCCGGCGAAGAAGGCTGCAGATGCCGGCAGCAGCAAGCCAGGGAGCATATCTCAGCTCAGTCAGTCCCTGAGAAGAAGCTTTGAGGAGCAGCCGCAGTCAGGCATATCGCTCCTGTCGCAGTTATCGTCGTTTGGAGATCCTCCCATCCCTCAGGCATTTTCTCCATGCAGTGAATACCACTGCAGTCCTGAGGGCAAGGACAAACATTCGCCATCTGGAACCCATGCGATGGTTTGGGACTTGTCTGAAGATTGTCCACTCCATTCATCGGTAGATTATGATATTGAATCTGGCAATAAGAGAAGCAAGCAGGCAAATTTGGGTGCAAGTATGAGGGCATCAGACGACTTATCTGAAGCTGATGCCTTCCTCAGAAATTTCTCAAAGGAGCACCAGAAGTTTGCAAGGTCTTCTCAGTCACAGCGGTCACCCCCGGTCGGAGACTCGCCCGTCTCTCAAACATCCGTCCCTTGTCGCCTAAATTCTCGTAGCCCTGTCGAGCGTCTGAAGTCAGTACCAGCGACAAGAGGCAGCGTTTGGGACTTTCCTGGAGATCCCTCTCTGCGGTCGTCTGACCTGTCGGATCCTGAAGAATCGGACAGTGGTCAGCGCGGCAACAGGACATTATCGGATGGGTCTGAGGCTGGTCAATTCTTCAGAAGGACGTCACGGGAACAGCAACCGAAAAAGAGGTCCTCTCTATCACAATTGCCTACCTTTGAAGATCCTGTGGTGTGTCAGGGAGCTGCCCCATGCGGTGAATGGAGTCAAAATTCCGGCAGGAACGTATGCTCCCAATCAGCAGCTAAAGGTGATATTCTGGACTTGTCAGACGAGTCTGACGAAGATGGGAAGCGGCGCAAGTCCCTGCATTCGAGCCCATGGGGCCAAGGCGATTTTGAACGAACCGTCACTCACGAAACACTGTCTCCTAAACAACAAGGCTGCAATGAGCAAAATCAAATCAGTTCAAGCGGCAGCAAAGTTCCTTCACCCACCTCAAAGTCTCTGTCAATTGCGAATGATGAAGGGTTGCCGAACCGCGATGGCATGGAATTCGACACTACTGATGCTCTGAGACAAAGAGCGGCTGCGTCTGTGCCACCGTCGGCACCAGGATTACGGCATGCTCTTGCTGCCGACACGGCTGCTACTACTGCTAAGACTGCTGCTGCTGCTGCTGCTGACACGGCTGCTACTACTGCTAAGACCACTGCTGCTGCTGCTACTGACACGGCTGCTACTACTGCTAAGACTGCTGCTGCTGTCGTAGACCTTTCTACACCTTCACCTGGAGAAAGCCGCCGAAGGCGTAGTAGCAGCTTGCTGGGTGTTTTCCGATCGGAGGAACCAATAGAGTTTCCGCTGAATTCTGTGAGAGGAGAGGCAGAGGAGAACTCGTTCATCCATGGGCCGATGCCTGCGGATTCCCAGGAGTTGTCTTGTAACAACAATTTGACAGCTGCACACGATCAAGTACGAAGAGGGAAGCCGTTTCTCCTGTCTTCTGCAGAGAAGTCCATCGCAGCAGAGCAAGCTGCTAGATGGCTTCATCTAAGCCAAGGAGAATGTGAGGATCTGGATGAGTTTGATTGTGATTCGCCAGGATTATTTACCTCAGCGCGGGAAAGAGAAGTGCTGTTATCAGCTGCATCTCATAGTGAGTCTCACACCTCCCTTAGAGGAACCTGGCCTAGAGCAGGGCCAAGCTCTCTGTTTACTCGCAAGAACCCGGCTCTGCCACAGGTCATAGAATTGAGCCCTTAAAGGATTGATGCCAGTCTTACTTCCACAACTATTCAGGCAATGTTTGAACAAGGAGATGGTAATCTTCAAGAGAGACACAAGCACACACACATTGGAGAAATAAGGGGAGGGCAAGACTGCACACAGAGATCAACACTTGAAGGCAGAGGTGTACATGCACAGAGAGAGAGAGAGAGAGAGAGAGAGAGAGAGAGAGAGAGAGAGAGAGAGAGAGAGAGAGAGAGAGAGAGAGAGAGAGAGGTGATGGGAGGGAGTAGAGGATTAGACAGGGAACTCCACAGTGAAACGCTTTGCTGTGCAACGGATTAGGTTAAGGCACACATTGTAAGTGCGTTGCAGAACTCATGTTGGTTGTCGTCCACCGTGCATATCTTTGTCCTGTCTTTGAACATCCCCCCTCCCTTAAAAGGGGCTGTGGGAGGACAATTTGAGGGCCATCATGGCATCGAGAGCTCTTATTATGTCTGGGCTCGGGCATGCTTCTTTTGAGTAAAAGTTTCATAGTTGTTATCTTTCTCTTCGTCAGGTTGCTGTGTAGCAGTCGCCTGCTCTTTTTTTCGGGTTGAAGAGAGGATCTTCATGGTCCCTCCGTGTTTACAGTTGCGTGTTGCGCAGTTGCAGTTGGAATGCGCTAGAGCGATTTGTTTAAGTTGAGATGCTCTAGAGACCATTGGCAGTCGATAATAGTACCGGACAGTTGATAATTTCTCCTTTTCTGCATAGATAAGGACCAGTCCTTTAATTATCTTAGAGAGGTTACGACTCTTATGAGTTCATTAATCATTGGTTTCATGCCAGTTGTCTACCGATAGAACTTCAGTTTATTTGAGTCCAGTTTGAGTCCAGTTGTGTGCATGACAGCAAAGTGGTTGGCTACTTGTTCGCCTTTGTAAATGCCGCACTCCCTCCAAGTTCGGGTGAGCAGAAGACAACAAACCACTTGGTTTTGTAACTTGGTTGTGGGATCTGGTTCGACATCTCAGAGTAGTTTATCATTATTATTATGTCATAATAATAATAGCTCTAGTGAATAAGCTGGGCACATTGCTATTTTATTGGCAATCAGTCTTTTTTTTTTTTTTTTTTCCTCTCTCTAAAGGGCGACAGCCTTGAGATATTGTTGTGAAACCGACCAGCCCTGGATAATTCATGAATTCCGTTTATCTGGTTCCATCTGGATTTGAACCAAGGTTCCATTTGGATTTGAACCAAGGTTCCATCTGGATTTGAACCAAGGTCTGCATTTCAACAGTTTATGGGTGTACCCCAACTGAGCTAAGACGGTTGGTAGTCAGTCATCTTACTTTTTTTGCCGTAATAGGTCTAATAATGGATAAGCTGGGGCGCAGTACCGATTTTATTGTCAGTCGTTCATTTTAACGAGTTGTTTGTTCCTCTGAACGTGTCATGCCAATAAAGATGTCAGTGTCGATGAATCAAGGGAGCGCGGGGTGGGGCATGGGGTAACGAGAATTCAGCAAATTGTGCAAAGTGAGAATGAATCTTCTGCTAGAACATGGAAAGCTACACAGCCATAATTTTTGTCCATTGTGCATGTGGTGAGTAGCGGAGCGAGGACCGATGAAGAGAGGTTCTGTGCATGATATCTTGTTGTCTTGTTTTTGTTTTGTTTTTTTTAATATCTTTTGGCGTCTTGTCTTGGTATTCAACTGTAAACCAACATGCCATTCCGTGTCTTTTTACCCCCCCCCCCCCCCCCCCTCCCCCCCCCCCCCTTTTCCCTTTCATCAGTCCTTTTCGTGCCTTTCCTGAGCTTTTTGCTCCCGATATTCTACGTCCTCATTGTTGCATACTAGTGCAGCGAACACAAGGATGATGCAGAACCCAGAACCGACCAATAACAAAGAGCAATATAATGCAGCGGAAGACTTGAAAACATGGATCTGACTCACGCCTGACTCGGACTATCTACAGACTCACACCATACATTCATCGGGTGAGAAGGCCTGGCGCTCCAAACATGGAAGATGGCGAAACAAAAAAAAAATCCATCTTTAATACTTTGACAAGCTGTAGTACGAGCAACTCCTAAAATTACAATACTCCTAAAATTACAATAAAAGCACGTAGAATAGGTGGCTCTAATTATCAAGTTCCTGTAGAGATAAAACCAGAAAAAGGACATTCATTAGCAAGTAGATGGCTACTTACTGCTTCTCGAAAACGAACAGGCAAAAATATGGTTTTTAAATTAGCTAATGAATTATTAGATGCCGCTAAAGGCACAGGAGGAGCTATTCGCTTTCTTGGTTCACGAGGGGCTGCCTTGGTAACAACCACTTGTGTTTCAATTTCTTCGGGTCTGTGTTTCATAGCTTTTTATGAGGTTGCACTGGGAGCCAGTGCTTGTTATATCAAATTCGCACCATGGATTTTGTCAGAACTGTTTGATGCTTCTTGGGGTTTTCTGTTTGATACTCTGACTGTGGTTATGTTAATTGTGGTCGCTTGTCAGTAGGGGGGAGAGACGAAGAGAGGAAGAGGAGATGGCGCCAACACCAATATCACCGAAATAGAAATCCCGAAATGTCGGAGATACAAAGTCTCGAAATGTCGAAGATACAGGATCTCGTAATGCCACTGATGTCAGATTCCCAACATAGTCCCCTCAATGTCTCAATCCAGAATAGTCTCAGTCCCTATGTCACCGATAGTCCACCTCTGATCTCTGTCCAGATAGTAGTCCAGAATGTAGAAGGTTAGAAGAAGATGATGACGACGACGACGACGACGAAGACGAAGAAGAAGAAGAAGAAGAAGAAGAAGAAGAAGAAGAACCGAGAGGGGCAGAGGAGAAGGTGGAGATGGAGAGCAGGGGGGAGGAGAGTCCTCGCTCCCTGATCCAGTGTCCAGTCACCAACCTGCGGACGCAAGGTGCCACCTTGGAGCTGCTGGAGACCTGCCTTCGACCCTGGAGCTATGGCGCTCACAGGTAAGTAGCAGGTAAATCTTCTCTCTCTCTCTCTCTCTCTCTCTCTCTCTCTCTCTCTCTCTCTCTCTCTCTCTCTCTCTCTCTCTTGCCTCTGCAGCTACCCTCTTCCCCCGAACATAATGCATATGCGTTGTATTCGAGTTTTCCAAAAAAAACCGTTTTCGAAAAGTTAGACCCTTTTCTTCGAATACAAGGGCCCTCCGAATGTAACGCATATGCGTTCTGTTCGAATAAAACACGTATGCATTATATTTGAATTTCACGAAGAGAAAATTGTTGTATTCGAATATAACCTTTTTTTTTTTTTTGAAGGTCAACGCCTGCCCCGTTCTTGCCCTGGTGAACGGGACAGGCCCGTGCAGGCCCGTAATCACAGATCACTGCCCATTCTTTCTTTCTTTCTCTCTCTCTCTCTCTCTCTCTCTCTCTCTCTCTCTCTCTCTCTCTCTCTCTCTCTCTCTCTCTCTCTCT